GGGCAGGAGGGCAGGGGGTGGGGGTGAACGGGTGACGGGCACTGAGGAGGGCACTTGACGGGATGAGCACTGGGTGTTATTCTGTATGTTGGTAAATTGAACACCAATAAAAAATAAATTTATTAAAAAAAGAAAAATAAAATAAAATAAATGATCATTTGTATAATTTTTTTAAAAATCAAACTGCCTGGAGTTTTTAGAATCATCTGTTGTTCAGACTTATACTAGTACCCTTTGCAGAAGCATGAGCTCTTACTAATTGTAGGTACTGTGATGTGGAAACTCCCCCTACATCCTTCTGCCATCTGTCTCTGAAAAATTATAGCTCTGTAAGAACTTAGTCATTTTACTTGGGAGAACGACTTGTTGAACTTCCCTCAGTTTAGTAAATAAACCACTGCAGTTCTTATCAATACTACAATTTATCTTTTAGCTTTGCATTCACACCCTGTCATTACAGTAGTCCTTAAAAAAACAAGCACTGTGAATATTTGTTCTTTTTGGCTGCCCAGCAAATGAACTTTATATCTAAATCAGGGGAATTCTCTACCTCATGATTTTTTCGTGGGAAGCAGTGTCATTGCCCACATGCTCCCCTTCCACCCCCAACCCTTGCATATCTTAACACCTAGAGAGAATGGGGGAAAATTGGCATACTTTTAAAGTTTTCTTATCCCAGATTGGGGGATAAAAATTAGAGGTGTGAAATTGAGTGGTTTAGCTGTATGGGTGGGGAGGCAGTGTTGAATGTGGAGGTAGTAGTAGCCATAACTGCTCTGAACTCAAGCATCTCATTGACAACCAGATTCTGAATCTTGGTTTGAGATTGAATCCCTTATATAGGTTGTTGGCAGTGATTAAAAAAGGTATGATTTTTTGTTGTTGGTGGTGGTTTTTTTTTGGGGGGGGGCGGGGGTTTCATTTAGGTTGAGAAAGAGAGTTTGTGATCTAGCTGGATGTTTTTGTACCTTTCCAAACTGAATGCAACAGGTGTCCTTAGTTCCTTGTGTAGATTTCTCTGCTGGGAGACTCTGCTTTCTCTTAGCCATCTCAAGGGCACCCTAATATTTTATGGTGGAACTCCAGACATGCCAGCCCTTCATTATTGGTTTTTTTTAGTGAAAAGACTTCATATTCACCTACTTTGCCTTATGGTCATTGTATGCCTTGTAACCTGGAGTCTTTGTTCTTTATGAGGTCAAGCCTCTCCTCTTTGATAGTCAAAACTAACCTAAGAGTTAAGAGTTTTCCTAGTATTTGTTGAAATCAGCTGGCCTTAATAATTTAAGCCAGTTAGTGGCATTGGCATATTTAAAACAATATAAGTTTACAGAGTATTTGTGATTTACTTATTCGTTTCTGACTTGTTTTTCCCCTGAGTTTTCTATTTATCAAAGCCATGTGTGTCTTGTAGAGCAATCTTGTAAGTACAGGGAAATATTAAAAAAAAAAAAAAAGCGTAGGGTCCCCACATTAATCTGCAGATTCAGAGTAATCCCTATCAAAATTCTCACTGCCACCTTTGTAGAAATCAACAGTGTAATTCTAAAATTCACATAGAAATGCAAGGGACTCAGAACAATTTTGAAAAGAACAAAGATGGCAGACTTTAACTCTCGATTTTAAAACTTTTTTTTTTAAGATTTTATTTATTTATTTGAGAGAGAGAGAAGTGTGTACGTGCAAGAGAGAACACCAGTAATAGGGAGGGGCAGAGGGAGAGGGAGAAGCAGACTCTCAGCTGAGCAGGACCCTGGGATCATGACCTGAGCTGAAGGCAGACAATTAACCGACGGAGCCTCCTAGGCACCCCTCAATTTCAAAACTTAACACAAAGCTATAGTAGTAATCAATGTGATGTGGTAATGCCATAAAGATACTATAGGTCAAATTATGGTCATTTGATTTTTGAAAGGTGTCAAGATAATTTAGTGGAGAGAACAACGGCCTTTTGAACCAGTAGTTCTGAGACAATTTGATATCCACATGCAGAAGAATGAATTTGAATCTCTCTTTCATACCAAAATTAACTAAAATGGATCAGACTAAAATTGTAAGAGCTAAAACTAAAACCCTTAGAAGAATACATAGGTGAAAATCTTCATGACCTTGGTTTTAGTCAGTGGTTCCCTAGGTACAGGACACTAAAATTACAAGCAACCAAAGAAAAAAATAGATAAATTGGATTTCATTAAAGAAAAATGATACATTAGACTTTATCATAATTAAGAACATTAGTACTTCAAATAATATCAAGACAATGAAAAAACAACTCACAGAATGGGAGGAGATATTTGGAAACTATATATCTAATAAAGGTCTAGTATCAAGAGTAAGGAACTCTTACAACTCAGTAATAAAAAGGCAACATGATTTTTAAAAATGGGCAAAGGAATCGAATAGATATTTTTCCAAAGAAGATATATGTAAGAGGCCAATAAACATGTGAAAAGATGCTCAACATCTTTAGTCACAAGGGAAATGCAAATAAAAGCCATAGTGCTACACCCACCCACTAGGATGACTGTCGTGGAAAAGGTGGACAATGAAGTCTTGGTGAGGATGTAGAAAAATTGGAGCCTCCTGCATTGCTGATGGGGATGTGAAGGGGCGCAGCTGCTTTGGAAAACAGTTTAGCAGTTTCACAAATGGGTAAAAATGAAGTTACGACATGGCGCAGCGATTGTAATCCTTAGATATATACCGAAAAGAAATGAAAATGTCTCTGCAAAAACTGTACACAAATGGTTGTTGCAGCCAAAGAGCAGAAACTGTTTTGTTTTTTTTACACCAGCCCCAAAGTAGAAGCTACCCACACGCCCAGTCATTGTGGAGTGGTTCAACCAGATATGATGTGTCCATGCAATGGAATAGTATTCCGTGATAGAAAGGAGTGGAGCGTGATACCTATAACAACACGGATGATGCACCTTCAAAGTATAGGCTGTGTGGAAGAAGCCAGACCCAGAAGACTGCATATGGTTATTCACTTGTTATGAAATGCTCGAAATAGACACATCTGTAGAGACAGAAATGCAGATTAGTGGTTGCCAGAGGTGGGGGAGGAATTGGAGAGTGACCACTGATGGATACAGGTTTTGTTTTTTTTTTTTTGCTTTGATGAAAATGTTCTGGGCTGTGATCATGGTGATGGTTGCACAGCCTTGTGAATATACTAAGAACCACTGAATTGTATACTGTCCTTAAAAGGGCAAATTTTATGCTATGTGAATCATATCTCAATTAAAAGAAAAGGTAATTAGCAAAGTAGAAGCCATCTCATAACCTCCTATCACTACCCAGGGACTCCCACAGCTTACAAATGCTTAGTGCCAGACACCTGAGCCCTGTAGTAGACCTTCCCACTTAGTTCCCGCAGTAGCTTTGTGAATCTTCTCTCAGAACTGGGGCTCCTTGACTCCGCTAAAGTTCTTTCTAATTCACTCTGCCCATTTTCACAAAGAATTGTGGGTGACGACGAGAGCGTGCTACTTTGGAATATTATGAAAATACTATTTTATGAAGTTAGGTGCTTTACTCACACAGTTGACCAAAATACATTTGTGGTGTGGTTCAGTTACCATGCAGCCCTCAAGCTTCAAGGAAGGCAAACCCTTGGGAAATAGGGTTAAATCCCTGAAGTTAGTCTTTTAATGCCAAGGAGTTGTCTTGTCTTGTCTTGTCTTCTTTCTTTTCTTTTCTTTCTTTTTTTCTTTTCTCTTCCTCTCCTCTCCTCTCCTCTCCTCTCCTCTCCTCTCCTCTCCTCTCCTCTCCTCTCCTCTCCTCTCCTCTCCTCTCCTCTCCTCTCCTCTCCTCTCCCCTCCCCTCCCCTCCCCTCCCCTCCCCTCTCCTTCTTTTCTTTTTTCTTTTCTCTTTTTTTTCTTTTTCTTTTTCTATTTTTATTCTGAGACTGCAAGAAAGAAACAAGTAGAATTAGAAACTACCTTAAGTGGCCATTCATGTTGGCCTGGTGTAATGTTGGGATAGAAAAGCGGCTTGGATTTTGTCTTCATAAAATGCTACTCATCAGAATTTGCAGTGGTCCATTTGTTTAGCAACTAAACTAGAGAGTTTAGAGTAGAAGGCTTCAGTAAAACACACTAGCATGGAAAACTTTGTTACAGTGTTACTTTTGTTTGTTTTCACATGCCCTTAACATTTTAAGCCAACTAGTCATGGTTCAGAGGTTTTATCCTGTGTCCTCATTTTTATTGATTGATCCTTATTCGTGGGTGTCTAAAATGTAGTGAACTTTAAACTCCTTGCAAAACAAAACCTGGCTAGTAATTTCTCTCTCTCTCTCTCTCTTTCTCTCTTTTAATTTTAAAGGAGAGTTAAGACTTTTTAATTACTTTGACATGAAAATACCATTCTTAAAAATCTTGAGCTTCAGATAGTGGTGCTCTGGCTTTATTCTTTCATCATGTAATTAAAGAAAATGTGTTAATTTTCTTTAAAAAATGTATTATTTCTAGAAACTTACAAATAGCTTGATTCTGTCAGAAGTTCTCAGTGAAGTGCAGTTGACCCCTGCCATTTAATGGCTTTTACGTTGCAATCAGAGCAGACTTGCTTTTAGTAAATGTTAGCATTGAGATATGAATGTCCTAAGGAAATGCAAAGTATATTCTTTTTTCCCCAGTAGAGTCCTCTCAGAAGTTTGATTTTAATATAAACACTTTGACCTAGATATCGTAATCTCCTAACTTTAATGCAAATAAAACCATGTTCAGATTCTGAATTTCATGCAGGCAGAAACTTTTTGCCATCCTTGTATAATGTCTGTCAGAGTTTATTCTTGTGCCTTGTCCATAGTAAACGATTAATAAGTGTTTGTTATTTAAATATATATTTGTAATCACATATATTTTTGTAAACACATATTAATACTATATATCCTATTTTGTAATATACCCCCTGCACATACATGACTAATGAGGACGTTCTCAATGGTAATACTGCGTGTAATAATTTTTCTTAATGCTTTTGTCTCTTTTTAGGTTGGTATTTCGTATGGCATCTGTTTTTATCGAAATTCAAGTTTCTGCGGGAACTGGTGGGAGACACAGGATCTCAGGAGGGAGATCATGAGCCATCAGGCTCTGAGACGGAAGAAGACACTTTGTCATCTTCACACAGGATCAGATCTGCTCGGCACAGAAGGGCGCCTGCTGATGAAGGCCACTGACCCTAGCCACCATCCTGTACTAGTGGATGATGAAAGGCAGTGGGGAGCCTCTGTCTTTAATGACTTGGCTTTGCAGTTTGGTAAAAGATTGAAGAACATTTTTACTTGGATTTTAAGTTCAATTAAAGAAAAAGATTTATATGTAAGCCATATGAAAATAAAGGGAATTAAAACCAAATCAGACCATTGCAGATTTCATCTTAAAGATCATCTTTTGCTTCACTAACTTTCTACTTATATACTTACTCTCTGACTCCTGGGCTTATTTTATTGCACTGTTGTGAATCTGCTAAACATTACAGGCTTGAAAAACCGCATTTTATTAGTTCTGTAATGTATGTTGTATTTTTGTTTTTGTTTTCACATTTTACCTTGTCCGAAATTGGGATGTATCTCATGATTACTGTGAACTGGGAGATGGTCATGATGTAATTATCTCAGCCTATGCGTGTGTGAACTTACTAACAGCTTGTCACAGCATCATCACTGTATTGTTGGTACCAAATGTGTCAGGTTTAATTGGCATTTAAAGATGTCTTCAAAAAGACTGCACTATGATTCAGCATTGAAACGAAAAGTTATTGTGTACGCAGAAAAGCATGGAAACAGAGCAGCAGGGCGTACATTTGGAATAAGTGAAGCAAATATTCGTCGCTGGAGGAATGACCGCCATTCCATATTTTCTTGTAAAGCAACAACAAAATGCTTTACGGGACCTAAGAAAGGAAGATACCCACAAGTGGATGAAGCTGTACTATGTTTTGTTAGTGAGATGCGTGCAAAAGGATTGCCTGTCACACGCCAAGCAATGCGATTGAAGGCAGGAGAAATTGCCAAAATCCTCGGAATAGAAGAAACAAAATTCAAAGCAACGAGAGGCTGGTGTGATCGATTCATGCGCCGAGCAGGATTATCTTTAAGGCGTCAAACATCGTTTTGCTCAAAATTTTCTGCTGACATTATACAGAAGACGGTGCTGGAGCACTCTTTCAAGAAATGCCGCATCCCCAGTGCTCTTGATGACACCAAGGGTGCTATTATGTGGAAGAATGGAGACATCGTTGGCTGTGATTTGCGAAGTGATTCAGAAGAGTTGGATTCAGAATATGAAGTTATAGTTATAACCTAACTAGTTATTTCATATACTTTCTTTTGGTATGCACAAGATTGATGTGATAAAAATCTGCTTAACTCTAAAAACCGTTTCAGTAAATTTAAATAAACACTCTAAAACTCTACACAATATGAAAGCACTGTGTCAGTTTAATTGCCCGTGTTTTTTTCTTAGTGATACATGTGGTGCATCTTACAATTGATTGTATCTTAGATAAATAATAGTTTGTAAATTTATTTTTCCTTGTAGGGTAGCGATTATTTATTGGGGAACTTAATCTTGACTCTTATAATGCTGTTAAAATAGTTATCCTCTATGAGATACTTTTTTTTTTTTTCAACCTATTCAGGATTTAAGAGTAGTGACTCAGGAGTCTTAAGAACTGTCTTCTACTTCAGGAAGAGTGGAATTAGTTTCTCCCTTTGTTTGGGAGGGCTTCATGCTCAAGGCATGTGTTGTGGAGAAAGTACTTCTTTACAGACAAGTCAGTGACAAGACCTCAGAGGTCCTGGTTATGGTGGATAAAACAGTGAGTGAAAATGCCCTCTTCACTGGAAAATAGCTTGCCAGGTTCCCATGTTTGTCTTCACAGAACTTTGGACCGAAGGTTCACCAGGGAAGAGATACAGATTCAAAGACCCTTCCTGTTTAGTGTTATCTGCTGTGTACAAAAGTGAATTGCAAAGCCAATTTCTTTTATTGATCCAAGTTCCTTTTTCTGCGTTTACCCTTTTTTTTTTTCTCAAGAACTAGTCATCACAGAACATCACCTCTATGTTGTGACGGTGTGTAACTATGTTTGATACCTCATACTTAATGCTGATAGTTTTGTCAACAGTCCCCTTGCGTTCCTGAGGAATGCCTCTGCAGTCCCGGTAGCCCTTCAGATATACTGAAAAGGGAGTCTACACAGATGAGCTTAGTTTAAACATTTGCTGGGGGACGATCCTCAGCAGCCAACAGTGGGGCATAATCTTTCTGTCATTTCCTTATTGGATGCATTTTTCTATTATTATGTGACTATAGGGATTAACCGAACAGTGACACTGAGCATTAATTTTGGGGCTTCAGACTAGCTGGCTATCACATTAAAATGGTCGTCAGTTAGAAAAGAATTAATGCCTAAAAGCTTCTTGGTATTGGGATTGTATTTAATTAGATCTTTCATGGTCTAATACCTTGAGCTGTGGGATTTAACTTCATAGTGAATACCTTACATTTAGGTAATAATAGTTGTTGACAAACTTTTAACAAATGAGCTTCTATACTGTTTCAGTATTAAGGAATGATGGCTCATGTAACTCTACACAACTTGCAAGGGTCATCCACAAGTTAATATAAATGAACCCACGTAAATGTGTATGTGTTGGTATTATTTATTAACATGTATGCATCAAGGATGTCTCTTTTTTTAGTAGAATTTAAGGAAATGTTCTATTTAACTTACTTGGGAAATCTATCCAAAAGCATATTAATCGCTCATACTCTACCATGTTTTAACTCCTCCTCAGAGAGTAAAAAGAAATCAGTGGTGCCAATATGAAAATTCTACAAGCCAATTCCTTTGTTTAAAACTTGTATTCTTCTCTTGTACTCTTTTTCCCCCATTAAGACTCACCATAGTATATATTTCTAAGGCCACTAAGAAAGGCAAGAGGAGTATTAACAATTATTTGTGTGGTATTTCTGTTCCTATATTACTGCTTTTGTAGCCGCACTCAATCGGGAACTTCCCAAGTACTTTTTCAGTTTCTCAGTGGGAGACTGACTTGCCTGTGGTTAATTTTGAAGTTTAGAAGGTGCTGAGGATACAAGTATCCGCCTTGTCTGAATGCTCACAAGTCACTGTGATTGTGATCACAGTGATGGCAATCAACTGTGCCATCTTTTGAAAATTCTAAAATCGAGGACTCTAACAGGGTTGTTTCATTTCCTTACCCATTTACCATTCCCACATCTCTTTTGCCTCTGAAACTTTTGTGAAAATTGCAAATTGCCTGTATCCAACGTACTGGTTTGCATTGCTCTGATTTAAATGCCAAAAAACGCTAAATATTTGTGTGGCGCTCTTAAGTGAGGTTTTTGATATTTACGTAAAGCTAAAAATAGAATTCATCCAATGGATTTTGTAGTGTTGTTTTCATGGTGGAAACATTAAAACATTGCTTTTTGGTGAATAGCTAATTCACTTACGTGCTGACCCATTTTGTCAAATGATACTGGGTTTAAAAACCACTTCCAACTGTTATTTTGCTGAAAGGTGGGAATATATTTGCTGAAAGGTGGGTGAACCATATTAATGGTTTCATAGAATGTTATTTTAAACCAAAATATGTTGAAAGATTTGAAAGTAGTACATTTTTATTTTTAGGAGCAACCTATTTAGAAATTATTTTAAGTCAACAATGCAGTATTTTTTAAAGTCTGTCTTTCTTACAAGGTATGTTTTAATGTAACATGTAGCTAGTTTAACTTTAGATTTTTGACAGGTAAACTTCAAGTGCTTTTATATTTGAAGTTGACTTAAAAAAGCCAATGAGCAGTACTCAAAGGTGATGGACTTTGAAGCAACTAATGGAATAGTATTTTGTTTTGGAGTCTAGAATTAAAGCACCTTGTATGGTCTACTTTTAAAAGTATCCTGTAGCTTTTAAAGCATAAAGAATAACATTTTATCTTCTTTAATAAAAATTACATTTTCCATTTGTTAATACATGTGCTGCCTGTCTTATGACCAGCGTTTAACATTGCCCTCCCAGTTAACTCTGTGCATAACCATTCCCCAAATACATACTGCTGCTGTGGTTTCTTAATGGAAACATTCTGTGCTGTGCTCTGATGCATTGTCATCCTGCTGCTCGACAAATAGGTTTATAAGGAATTAGAATTGTGTGCGTTAATAGTACCTTTATATAACAAGATGTAAAGTTAGAGTTAAGGAATGTGTATAAATGATCACTCACTGTTTTTGTTTCAGAACTGGTCAATACTATACCTAAAGCTTCTGTGGTTTGTTTGATGTTTTAACTTTCACTTTAAACTGCACAGAATAAATTAAGATGAAAACAAAAGTTTGGTATGTGTTATTGATGAAGTATAGCAAATATGAAAGGTACCTGGGGCATGAGAGGAGTTGGAAAGCAATCATTTTTACCAGGAGTCCACCCTTCACCACATTTTTCAAACTTGAAAAATCTGTAAGAATTAAGACAGCCGTAGTGTTCCTAATGCCGTGAAAGTAATCGACTTAGAACCCAAAGGACATACAGCAATAGAACTAAATGGCTTTGACCATATGTGGCGTTTGGTTTTCTTCTCATACATGACCCAACACACTTAAGATTGTTTTGATATTCTATTTACCATATGTCATGTCTCACATATTTGTTAGTATGAACCATCCGGAAGACTAAGTGAGAACACTGACCAAAGCCTAGTGAAAAGATTGAGGAATGCCTTTGAAAACCAGTTTGAGATGGGAAATCATTGATGGCAGTGGCCAGGAGCCAAGCTTTTCATTTTTCTCCACTAGTGCTCAGCTGCCAAGAATGTAGAGTGGGAAAAAGTGGACCATGCTAATGTCAGGATTATCTAAAGGGCAAGGCCGTTAGAGATTGCTGGAGATTAGCTGTGGGATTTGAGCTGGGCTGTAAGAGAAGCCTGATCAGTAAGATACTGATAAATTGGGTGAATAGGAAGGGGTAGAGACTGAAGATAAAATGAGTGTGTTATTTGTATATAATGGGTCGAAGGAAGTTTGGGGTAGGGATTAGGATTTTAGAGGTGAAGCAGTTCTGAGCAGTGTCACCAAGTATAGCCATAGAAAAGGAATCAGAACAGAGACTCCTTCCAGGGTGTATGTGTACTGTCAGGATGGTCACTAATAC